CTCCTGAGGCTGTCCCATTAACCTCTCCCTTTGACTGCAGGATGGAGTACACCCTGGGCAACTTCAACAATGAAACCAGACTCAGGCTATGGCCATACTAGGACTCAAGGGTGGAGCTAGGATTTGGAAAAGAGGTGTGCAGATGGTACAGTGCATCATCACACATTTTTTCCAGTTAAAGAGAATCTAGAAGTTTTACTAATGTTAGGGGCCGCGTGCTATATTATTTAGTTTAAAATCCAATCAAAAAACAAATAACTATTGGAATGTTCACTAATTTGCCTGGATTATAAGATTATATATAAATCTTAAATCAGCAAACCAGGCAACAATAGTAACAATATATTGTTTTATTAGTCTAGTAGTCATTATACTGGAATGTACCTCTCTTATTCATCTCTTATTCAGACTTGTAAAAACAAAATCTAGCCTTCTTGAGCATCTTGACACTTCACTGTCATTCATTTTCACACCTGAGTTAATGTTCACCTAAGTTCATATTGCCACACCTGAGTTAGGGTTTTTACCTGGAACTAAGAACAGTCTGCAGGAGTGTGAAACAGAAGAGCGATCATATGAAGAACGGCTAACAGACAGCAAAACTGCGGAAAGGAAATCTTGATTTAATGGACCTTAAGACCATTCAAAATGAGAGAGGGTTGTTAACATCTGTGGAGCAGGAAGAGGTTGGCAGGTAGGCCTGTGCAAAACAGCTAGTATTTGCTTCAGATTTGGTTGACTCGGGGGACAGGGATTTGAATCACTGTCCAGATTCGATTTGGCTGAATCTGATTCGGAGATTCAGCTCCAGTCCCGGGGCTTTTCTTGGGTTTTTTTTCTTAAAGGGCTGGAGCTGGGGGCTGGCAGGGGTCCCCCCATGGTCCCTTCCCCCACCCCTAGCACTTACCATCTCGGAGTGGCTGCAGCTCCCTGCTGCACCCACTGGGGACTGCCCGAATCATCAAAGCTCCCTGAATCTTTTCTGAAGATTTGGAGAGCTTTGAATCAATTCGGACCTTTAAATTGGTCCCGATTCGATTCGGTCTCGGAGATTCAGCCCCTGAATCGGGCCGAATCTCCTCCGAATCAAATCAGCACTCAAAGCTTCGCACAGCCCTATTGGCAGGGATCAAGTAGATGAGGAGGAGGAGGGACCCGCTTAACTCATGGCAAAAGCAAAAGCAATTTCTGTGGCTTGGTTGTGGCCCGAAGAGCTGATCTTATGGTAGCCCCCATCCCCGGTGCTGATTGGCGGACAGGCCCTGAGGGAAGGAGGAACGAGTGGGTGGCCGCCTTCTTGACTGCTGGCTGCATGCCTTGCAGCCATGCCCCTTGGCGCTGATTGGCAGAGAAGTGCGAGGGCGCAGCTACCATCTGGCTGCTGCCCTTTGTGTCGCCCTGCCAGCTGGTGCCTTCCCCTCCAGGGCGGGCTGCAAGGTTGGACCACAGCAGCAGTGAGAACTGCTGGCTTGCACTGGGAAGCCAGCATTTTATTTTTATTGTTGGGTTTTTTGGTTGATTTTCTGGGAAATCGCGGCCAGTGTAATTTTTTTGCAGAAATAGCCTTTTTTCAAGGTTTCCGTGCAAATCACATAACCATGATTTAAGTAGGTCCCTAATGAGCCATGAAGTCAATGGACTCTGTCAGCAAAGCCTGATTAAAAATGCCGCTGCCTCTCCCAGGCTTTCTGTTTTAAAATATGGATGGGGCAGGAATCAAAGTGGGGCAGAACTGCACCATTCCCCACCCCCAGCCCCCTGGATCTGCTCCTACTGGGAGTGTTTTACTGGTGTACAAAATATTATATTCTAGACCAGCAAAGTGCTTCTAGTGTGGACACACATTTGCTCTGTATCAATACGGTAGATCCACCCTACAGGCAAATAAAATTGCACAAATAAAAGTGCATCTGCATTAGGGGCTTCTGCCAACACACCTGTCAGTCAGGTTTCATACTTCGGCGCAGTCCTGACTGATGAGAGTCTGTAGTGTAGACCTAGCCTAAGATGCTGGGAAACAGGTTAAAGTAGCTCAGCTGTACTGCCGTTTTTTACCCAAGCAGAGTCACTGACTTTCTCCAGCTTACAGCGATACAGTCATCTGATTTATGGGCTGAATTTCATGACTTTCTGCTCTTCTCTTGGGTCTCACGGACGCTGTGTAGCAGATTCTGTCCATCTCAGTCATGAGCAGCAACTCAAACTGAAATGAGTGGATGCAGCTGAGGATGAAAGAAATCACAATTCTGGCCGTGCATGTATCAAATAACCCTTGCAAGTTAGGAGTTTCTGGAGTGACTGGATTAAATATGAGGCCTGTGATAGAAATGCTGCTGTCACTGCCAGGCAGGTGGTTTTATACTTAAACTGCACCAGTCTACCCCCCCCATCTGCCTTGGAAAATAAGCCTTGCTTGATGGAGATGGCCCTCTGACAGATTTATCATTTAAAACATAATTGCTAGGTTAACCGCTCACATTAAACTGTCAAAGCGAGATCATTTACCTTTCACCCTGGAAGGGGCTAGGGCTTGATGGAGCACAAGTAACAGGTGATATAAACCAAGCAAACCAACCAGTTGCTCGGGTTTATGGGAGAAGGGAATTTTATGTATGGAGAAGGAAAAGGAGGCGGTAACACCGTGCACAGCAGGAAGGGCCCAGCCACTCCTGGTATCGGGGCAGGTTTGTGCAGCTGCCCCGCCAAGCAATGCAGTCTGTCCCGGGTGGCAGTGCTCAGGACAGGGGGCATGTGGTGCCGCCACAGCACAAATGCTAATGCCTACCTACCCCCTTACAACAAGAGATGAGCACCTTACAAACAAGAATGAATTTACGTCCACAACTTTCCTGAGAGGTAGAGAAGGGCTATTTCTCTTCCTTGCACATGGAGATGAAGCCTGGTATTTTTGAAGGAGCCTGTGGGAATTAGGCACCTAATTCTTATTGCATTTCCAAAACAGTTTCATGCCTAGTTGACTTAGGAGTTACAGAAAACCTCAGTGTAAGATCACACACAATCTGGGACAGAATGAAAATTGAAATTGGATCCCACGAGTCAGAGTCCAGTCCAATAACCACATGCTCATCTGTGCTCTTTGCCTGCTATTTTCCCTGTCATGTTACATGAAAGCTCTGAAAGAAAAATGCACAAGTTGCCAATGGCTTCTGCTAGACTCCCTTCCTTTCCTGGTACATTCAGTATTCTCTTGTCGCAGGCAGGGACAAATTCACTGGGATAAAAAAAAAAAATTATTGGAACCACATCTTCCCCTCGCCCCCGGTTTTTTTGAAGGTCATCAAAAGCAGACTGGTTTTTATTTCCATCATTTTGCATTTTTGCAGCTGTTCCTACATGTCCTAGTTCCAGCCCTGGCCCATCAGACATCCTGCTCTAACCACAAGGAAGTTTTGTTCTTACGGCACTTCAAACCTGACTGAGAGAAAAGTACTGTTGCCCATTTTTGCAGGGAGCAGTTAAACAACCTCAGGGTGCTGCAGGTTGTTTCAGTTAGGAAGACAGATTGGCGATAGGGTCAAGCACTGCTAGGAAAAAATCTTGCTCATTTACAATGAGCGTCCAGTCACATTTCCCTGAAAACAAAGGGATCGGACAGCGAAAGACTCCATGTTTGCTTACGGTTCCAAGCCTCTTTTTCTAGTCAGTGTTTAATCCCGAACACGCTTGCTGAGCTTTTCTTGGGTTCACTTCATGATGCTTATTCTGACTGTACTTGGCTTTTTGCTTGGCCACGCAACGTTCAGAGTTGAGGTGCCAGACCCTTTCGTGGCTGTCAACTGTAGCCAGTGGGCATTTGTACACGACACGGGGGTTTATTTCTCCCTAAATTGAAGCAGTGTTTTTTTAAAAACACTGCTTCAATTTAGGGCAAAGTAAACACCCGTGTCGAAGCCTGATCCTTACCTGCCTCTCCAGTGGCAGGGAGGGGAGAGCAAGCTGCTGGCAGGCAGAGCAGTCCCTGACCTTGGGCGAGGGGGCTGGTCCTTCCCCCTGCGACAGCAGCGCCCCCTCCCAGGCGGCACCCACCTGCAGGCACCCTCAGGGGCACTGTAGCCACAGAGGGAAGCACCAGGCCCCCACACAGCTCAGGCAGGCAGGCTCCGGCAGGGGGTGGGAAAAGATCAGGCTTGCCGGTTGTTTTTTTTTCCTTTTCCTTCTGCAGAGCCTGCCTTCCCAGGCTGCTGCCAGGTTGCCCGCATGGTCTGCCTGCACAGCCCCTGAGCTGCACAGAGCCCGCTGCTTCCCTCCACAGCTGTAGGGTAGGAAACTAAAACTCCTTGGAGGTGTTTTACTTTGTAGGGCCCCAAAGTGAGGGTGGCCAGAATCTGGAATGGGCTTCCAAGGGAGGTGGTGCTCACCCCTAGCCTGGGGGTCTTTAAGAGGAGGTTAGACATGCACCTGGCTGGGGTCATCTGACCCCGGCGCTGTTTCCTGCCCAGGGCAGGGGGTCAGACTCGACGAACTGCTGAGGTCCCTTCTGACCCTAACATCTATGAATCTATGAAAGTCATTTGCTGCGTCACAAAGTCATTACGCCTCCAAATGCGCTACAGCGGCTGGAATTAACACGCCATACGCTGCCAAATGTGCAAACAGCAGTGCCATTAAAGTGCTGCAAAAGGCATTTCACTTGCTTTAAACCCTCTTTCAAGTGTCGTTGACAAATGGCCATTTAGTCAAATGGTTTTGTGGATTTTTAAATATAGTAATAAGGGAGTAAAACTCATCAACAGTAGGAAGATGCAACTGTGAAAGCACAAATGTGCACCAGGGGCTGGGATGACTTGTGTGACATCCCCCCCCTCCCCGAACGATTGTGAACTCTGCTTTCAAAAGGGACTAGATTATTTCACCTTGATGGAAGGGAAGGCCTCTGCTTTAATGCCTGCTCTGGTTAAATGGGAGCTGAATGACGAGTGACTGATAGCCTCCTCCCTCCCACCTGGAGGAAATTCCACCCTTCCTGCCCAGTCAGTTGTGGGGGAACCGACAGACAGCGAGAGGCTGGTAAAACAGGTTCTGAGAAGGGAGTTGTCCCTGAAAAGCAGGGAGACCTGGACAAGTATGCAATGAACAGGGGCTGAATTCAAACCCGGACAACACCGGCAAGGAAGGAATGATTCTCTTTGTGCCAAAGCTGGGTCACACCCGTGGTAGGGTGCCTTTTGCAAGGTGCTGCTAGTAGACAAATTACAGCTCAGAGTCTGTCAAGGTAGATAAGAGACCATGTGATACAGCCTGGCAGTAAATGGGCTGCAGGGTAAAGGTGCACAGGGAAATAACACGGCAGGGGAGGCACGGACTCTCTTCCCAGTCCTTTGGGCACGTCAAGTCCGAGTCCCCAGGGCGATCTGTATCGTGGTGCATGAACTTGACAACCAGGGACGCTTTCTGCTCTTTTTGAAAGCCCGGGAAGTCTGGGATGTCTTTCAACAGAAAAAACTGGTCTACGCTTTCCAGGTAGGTGCCTTGGTTTAATGGTTAACCCTTTCTGCCCCCCAGTGGAGCGTAAGGCAAGAGTGGGGTCTGGGGGAAGGGGGGGTTGTCAGTCAGGGAAGGCAAAACTAGAACAGAAAGGGGTGCTCCAAGCAGGGCAGGGCAGGGCAGGGCAGGGCAGGGCACGGCCAGCACTGGCACTCAGCCTGCTGCCAGGGGCTTCAAAGGGGTGAACAGTGCCTCTACTTCAGTCCTGCCTGGAGAAGTGAGCTGTGCCATGTATCTGAATAGCAGGTCTGCTCAGGAAGGTGACTCTGAAGAGGCTGTCATGGCTTGTCATGTCTGGTGTGTTTTAGCCAGCGTGGATCTAATCCACTCCTCTTGCATGAAGACAACCTTTCTCACTGCCGACCCTGCATGCTCCCTCTGAGACCTCAGCACAGCGACTGAAGAGCACCCCTGACTGACTCTCTCTCGTGTCTGTGCCGTTTCTAGCACAGTGACATGCTGATCTTGGCTGATGTTTCTAGTGCTCCCTCAATACAGAAAACAGTAATTCTGCCCCACGGCAGGAGTCTGCCTAATGCAAGACCTTAATAAGCTGCAGGACAATTATCCATTGACATCATTTGACACTTCCTGTTTGTTTGCTCCCTTTAGTCTTTTCAAGCGCAAATGATAACTGAGAGCATTTGGCCCCTAACAGTGGGCTAGTGCAAGGCTGGGTGGTGAGTGGGAGCTAAACTGGTGCTCAGGCTACTGAGGACTGGTTTACCCAGCCTTACACTGCCCCCAAGAAGCATGCCTGCCCAGAAATGAGGCAGCCACACACCCTGATGTGGCTCTTGGGTACTTTGTACCAGGGTTCCTCCTGGTTCTCCAAGGCAGCTACACCACCCCACTGCTGGGAAATGGTGGGTGAGGCTAGACAAACCCATAGTATCTCTGCAAGGTGCAGAATTTCATCCCAAAGGCAGGCTGCTGGCTCCCATGCCTGTGTACATCTCTCAGTGATTCAGAGAGGAGTGTTGGTTTAGTGGTTAAGGGGTTACCCAGGAAGATAGGAGACCTTGGTTCAGCTCTGCTTTGCTGCACATGCGGGGCAAATAACTCAGGTCTCCGCTCCTCATCTCTACAACGAGGATAATGCTGCAGGATTGGGCATATTTCTTGAGCTAGTTCAAGTAGAAGTTATGGGCTTGATGGATAAGGTTCTTGGGCCTGTGCTACGTGGCAAGTGAAAGAAGATGTTCAGGCCAGAGTCCTTATGACTATCCAGAGTCATTTGACTTGATTATGATGGTTAGTTACATAAGACACCCAATCAGGGAACAGGAACAATGTCATGTGACTTTAACTCATGATTAGACATTAAGTAGGCCCTCAGTATTCAACGAACAAAAGGGTTAGGGCCAAATCTGCAAAAGACCCGTGGCTTTTAAATCCCCAATCTGGAGCCGCAAAAATCATGCTTACCTGCTGCCTTAAATCAAAGAGGCGTCTGACTTCCACCAGTGAAGTTCCCCATGGGCCTAAAGGTGTGACTATCTGCGTTTTCACTGTGCTGACCAATTTAGTATCTAACTTTGTCAGGGTTCACAAACTAAGAGTTTCTTCACCGGCTTTGCATGTGGGGCCTGTTCAGGTGGGTCTTCACAGTGACGACCTAATAGAACAGGTCCTGCATGAGGTGGAGGAGATGCACCTTTTTCCTAACAACCCAGTGGCAGAGCATTCAACCTAAGTCTCACACATCCGAAGTCAATGCTGTCTTTTGCCTAAGAGGATGTGACCATACATGTGCATGTGAATGCCTAACCCACTAGGGCACTGTGGGCTAGCGCTTTCTATCCCTCCTGTTAAGAGGGCAAGAAAGGAAGCATGACTGTAGGCTAGTGCTCAGGGCACTTCCCTGGGTGGGAGATCTGGGTCCTGACATCTCTTCCAACTGAAATATAAGTATTCCTAGCAAAAATGAAACAGCTTGAGAATAGGGACAGGAGAAGAAACCCCTCTTCCCCAAAAGTACCTTATTAGCCCAAGGTTACAGCATACTTATGGGAGATACAAACTCAGGCGAAGGAGGGAATTGTCCTGTCATGCCCAAGTGCTGTAACATTGGGTTGCTGGATTAAAGGGGTCTGTTGCCACCTCCTTCTCAGGTCTTGCTGGGGCTCAGGCATGTGAAAGGCACCTATTTTTCCCTCGTCTTGGCTCTCTCATAGACAGGGGCAGGATATAATCCACAGCCCTCGCTGCATCTGCGGCAGGTTTGCTGAGAGCGCTCCCCAGCCAGTGCGACACCTTCTGTGCAACCCACTCAGAGGCTCCATAGACCAGCCACCTAATTTGGGACTCTGGATTCCCTACATGGCAGGTGTGCGGTAACGCACAGTAGTCCTGTGCGAAGCGGATTCGGTCGATTCAGGGGACAGTGATTCGATTCGGTGATTCGAATCACTTTCCTGATTTGATTCGACCGAATCTGATTCAGAGATTCGGCTGCTGCCAAATCTCCGAACCAGCCGGGCCCATCCCCCGCCCACCCCCCAGCCTGGCAATGGCTGTCCCACTGCCCCAAACTCCTGGCTCTTGTTAAAAAAAAAAAAAAGCCCTGACTCAGCAGGTGCTGCCAGGCGGGGGGGGGGCGATCCCCACTGCCCCATGCTGCGTGGGGGGCTCTGCACGATCCCCCCCACTCCCCAAGTCCCCCCATGGGTGCCCCGCCCAGGCCAGCTCCGGCCCTTTAAGAAAAAAACAAACAAGAAAACCCTGGACTCACTGCTCCTGCCAGCAGGGGGCGATCCCCGCTGCCCCCCACTGCCCCGTGCCACATGGGGGGTTCTGCACAAGCCCCCGAGGCCACTGCAGGAGCCATGAGTCCTGGGGCTTTTCTC